GGGGCGGGCCGCCCGGCCACCCGGAACTGGCCGACGCAGGCGGAAGAGGCTGGGGCGCAGGCATCCCCTGCGACGCAGGCGGCGGGCCAGAGGAGGACGCAGCGGGGCCGCCCAGAGGCGGAGGGGCGGCGGGCGGACTGCGCCACGGGGGAGTGGTCTGCGACGCCGGTGCCAGGGCCGGGCTCGCCCCCGCAGCACCGCCCGAGCTGCCGCCCGCTGCGCCGGCAGCCCAGCGCGGACTTGCGGCACGGAGGGCGGCAGCGGCACCCTGTGCGGAGCCCCCGCACACCGCCACCAAGGCCTCGGCGACCAAGGGGTCCAGGTAGTTGGCCCCGAGCAGGAGGGTGTGGACCACCTCCGCAAGGCCCACGGGGCGCCCCAGCCGCCCGAAGAGGGCAGCGGCCGCCAAGGCCGCAGGCGCGGCGTGCCCGGGCGCGGCGGCAGCCAAGGACTGCAGAGCAAAGACGAGATCCGAGGAGGGCACCGCCGATGCACCCGCGAGCTCGTGCACCAGGCCTGCGAAGGGCGGACCCATGGATGCATGGGCGAGCCAGCCTGCCAAGGTCTCTGCCGGTAGGAGGCCGACCGCGGCCAGGAGCGCCGGCGAGTAGGCCGAGTTGCAGTCGCCAGGGTGCGCGGGCAAAGTGCGCGCAGCTGCCGCCGCCAGCAGGGAGCTGAGAGGCCCCTCGCTGCCTGCCGCGTCGCCGCCGCAGTGCGGGGCGCCAGGCGAAGCCGGAGGCGCCGGTGACAGAGGCGAGCCAGGCGCCGCCGACGACGACGTCGACGACGAGCTGGACGAGGGCAGAGCAGCGGTGTTCAGGAAGGCCCCAAAGACCGGCGGCGGCACGGGGACCGCTGCTGGCTCGGCTGGCGCGCGGCCAGGGGCCACGGCAGACTCGGCGGGGAATCCAGGGAGGCCTGGGACTGTCTCCGCCTCAGGATCCACCTGCGCAGGGGCACCAGTGGGAGGCACGAGGACCGCACTGGCATCTGGCCCCGCCGGCCCGCTGCTGCTGGGTTGGGTCCCGCCTGTTTGGACACCCGAAAAGGGGTACCGAAAGAATGGGTACAATGCCCAACAACACAGGCAGTCCCAAACCAACAGCGGCCGCTGTTGGGCAGGCGGCCAACAAACGCGAAAGGACAAAGGCCGCGGCGGCGAGGACAGCGAACCCAGCTCAAAGGAACAAGAACTGCTGTCGGGCATCGTGCCCATTCTTTCCGTGCCCGTCTCGGGCGTCCAGAGCCTGTGCCCGCCGCAGCAGTGCACGACGTATTGGAGCACTGCGAGAACGCCTCGAGCAGACGGGCGCGCCCTTTGGCATCAGCCTCGAGCACACGGGCACGCTCTTTGGCCTCAGCCTCCTGCTGGGCCTGGGCTAGATACGCGATGCGCTCCAAGTCCGAAAGGCCTGCCCACTCAGCAAGGACCAGCCCTTCATATACATGGTTGGCAGCCTGGTCGGCGGCAGGAGCACTCGACACCGCATCCAACCACAATTGATGCAAACGTCCACTGGCCCGCAACTGGGAGCGGAAGAGAGCCAAAGCATCCTTCTCGTGCGGCGCACGCTTCGGAGCGGCGGTACACGGCCCAGGCGCCATGGCCAGGGCGACTACGAATAGTATATTAGGCATCGATGGGGGCACCAAGATGCCGGGAAAGGCGAAGCGTCAAGACACAACTACAACTTGAAAGTGAAGCGGCTGCAGCGTAGCGGGAAGTACAAGCCTCACGCATACAAGACATGCGAACACTAGCGCCGACCCCCCGAAACAAAGCAAGCACACCCACGCAAAGGCGACACAGAAAAACGAGGCAGGAGAAGGCGTGGACGAAACAACACACGCACCTCGGCACCGGCTACCTGCACCGGCCTCCTCCCTTCTCCTCCCTTCTCCTCCTCCTCCTCCTCCTCCTCCTCCTCCTCCTCCTCCTCCTCCTCCTCCTCCTCCTCC